ATCCCTGTAGAGTTGGGGATTTGCAACAACATCCTTCTGATGCATCCATTGTTTTTACCTGATGAGTAAGGCACTGAAGTTCATGTGATTGGCTGAGACTTACTCAGGAGTAGCTGCTTTTCCAGAACAGAATCCATGAACCGAGAGATTGCTCTGAACTGCGATTCGAAGAGATTTAAACAAGGACTAATGATGCAGACGGTAGGATCTGAAGCAGATCTTTTTGTGCCTGGAAGTCCATCAATGATCAGTCAGTATTTACAATAATTCCGAAATCTCTCGGAAAAATGCTGACGGAACAGACTAAGGTGATTACTATTTATTTTACAGTATTGACCAATTCAACTGCTTGCATTCAATTCTCTTCTGGTGTGCAGTTTGGGCACCTATTAAAGTGAGACAGTGCGAATAGAAGGGGGCCTGGAAAAATGCCATTTTTACTTCAAACATGTTCAGAAAGGTGATATTTTTCAAAAAAGCGTATCGGAATACATTTTACGTCCTACATGGGCAAGTTCGAGCCGGTTATTCATACACCTCATTTTCACAAATAACATCTGTTTAACCCGGGACTTAACTCATTCAAGTAAATTTGATCTTTCGTTTCCGAGTGGATCGTTTTGTGGAATCACATAAACGCACAAACGTCAACCGTTGAACTGAAAGTATTCATTGGTGTGTGTGTATGAACAGTAACTCATGGATTCAAATAAAACAAAATCTTTTACCACTGGGATGCGTGTTGTTTACTCTGAATTGTTCTTACTGAAAAGGTTCACAGAAATTCAGATGGAATCTGTAGTGATGAGCATAATGATAATTCTGCACTTTATTTTATTGAACAGAAAAGAGTAAGAAAAATATCAACGAAGCGCCAGTGGAAAAGAAAGTGTTTCAAATCGAATATTCACCCTCCGAAGAGTTATTCAGGTGCCCTAGAACGCATGGTTAATGGCTATAAAAACTGAAACCGATCAAGGCCGCTTGATCGGAACTGAAATAAACCTCTATAATCATTCGGAGGGCATTTGGAAAACAGTCGCTTGGCTTCATACACTAGGGGAAATAATCAGTAACAAAATCCGCTGTCACCGAGTAAACATGATACTGGATAAACTTCTGATATAGAGAGGTTTGCTTAGAACAAAAAAACGGAACTACTGGCGACGTCAGATAGCATCAACAAAAGAGTGTTTCCGTTGCCCTGCTGACCTCTGCCGAGGTGATGTGTAACAGTTAGTATTTTGGGCTACTCATGTCCAAAAGTGGAACACAAAATAACGCACGGCAATGAATCCGCAATACTAGCTGCGAAATAAAAACTTTCATTGTAGAACGTCTGAATCATTTTATAGTAGTGATTCCAACCCTTCGGTGGATCTGAACTTCATTACTGATATTCCAATTTCACCGATCGGAATAGATATTGTTCAATCTGGGAAACCCAGCCGATCAGATTCTGTTACGTTCATCATTGCTGACTTTGTCCGTTGGACAGTTCAGTTAAAACGACTCGTATCTTCCTATATACCCTTATCTTACTTTAGCAGTTTATATTTTAGCGGTGGAACCCTAGTTGGTGCTTAGGAAATTTTTCTATTCATCAAAATACACTGTAAGTATATACGATAATGTGCTCAGTACCCACGCTTTTATCTGGAAAACTCAATGGTGAATAAAATGCAGTTAGCGGTAACGCATACTAAGCAGTATTTTAATCATCCGTGTGTACACATTTTTATCAATTAAAACAAAGTATTTTCGATTGTTGCACCTTGCAGTAATTATGGTTCGACAAGAGCAGTATCTTTTTTTATTTACGGTAATTATAGCTAAGTGATTCCCAGGAGGAGTGAAAAATCGAACACCATCCAGATATAACGTTTCCGTTTTTTATTGGCCGTAAAAATCATTAGCCAATAATAGCCCAATCGTGATCGTTGCATGAAATCAGTGAAGTGAGAAACTAAGAAGTCAGCGTGTAGTGTAAACAAACCGAGATCGGGGACAGCAAAATACAAAAGAACATGGACAATCAAAAGCTTGAATCCATGATTGGAAGGTTTTTTCCCCCAGAGTCAAATTGGGCGAAGGAGGCAGAGGAACACAAAGGTAGGCAGCAAAGGAAAACCGAGTGTGAAGCGGCCATTAGCGCCAAGCGATTCCGGCTGGAGATGTCCAGTGTGAATTCGATAGGTCAGGTCAGGCTCAATGCCCCGCAGTTCTGATGTGCAACTTCGATATGTGCAAGTGGGTGTTTTGTGGCGGAAATTATAGAGCGATAGGGAGGTAATAAGTTCTCTAGCGGCCACGTTACGCGACACCAAGAACGGATGTTGAATTGTCCCGAGAAAATTCAGGTGGAATGAAATCATAGGTCAGATCTGAGGAAGTAAACGCAACAAGGCAAATAATCGGTCAACTTTTGATACCCGTATCACTTCGGTGCTTATTGCATTGGAAATTCGGCATGTTAATACGACACAAATTCTCTGTAGACTGCTTCTTTCCATACGCTTTTCCTTCGTTCATTTATTGCAACGCGAATACTTAGCAACCTTTTTCAGGAATAAATTGTTACGATAAAAAGACGGTCCAAGGATATCAAATAACATTTGTGAGAATAAGACAGCAAGTTAACAACAAACAAACGCTTAATCGACTTAACCGCAACCAATCAATAAATAAGAAAACTTTTAACCAAAATAAACAGCGGGCAATTTAAATTGGGAACCGTTCAGATACTGATACTCCGTTGTAAGAAAACTAATCTAAACCGAACACAGGTGCATGTGTGAACATTTGATCCGGACACTAGAACTATATACAAGCATTCATTTGAGCTCTTTTAAACTGTCGGTCCGAGACACCGATAAGATAGCAAACGCAGCTTATAAAATGGAGTTCTGAAAAACCTCCCAATTTCATGACAGCAAGAATAAGCATCATTATCATCATCAGCTGTGTACATACATTCAGATCAAGTTTGGGTAACCGAATGATAGTTGAATTAAACACATCCTGCGATCATGATACTTCTTCTTGCTCTCATGAAAATGTTAAAAGAAACTGGTTTCATGTACTTTCCACTTATTAGCATGACTGAGTGAATTTAGTGAGCCGGAGAACTGAATGCACGAGTTACAACTGGGATAAAATCGTTGACTAGTTGATGCGCATGTGCAGGTATTTTTTTAAGCGATCAAAATTGGTTTCATTGGCCTCGACCCGTCCGTCACATGATCGTTTGCAGAACGCCTCCGACTAGCCGATTCACTTTCGAGTGTTGGTTTTAGACGTACTGTAGTTCGCTTGCTTTTGTTATCTTTACTTGGACAGAACTCCCATTCTACCGTATTGGCCGAAATATAGAGTAGACAAGAGACAGCAACAGAAACTGTTGCAATACAGGCACAAGATTAACGACTATCCGAGTTGAACTGAGGTGTTAATCCTTGGTACGGGATGCATTTTATGCATTTGTACAATCCCTCGTTTAAGTTATTTTCTTATGACAAAAATTCTGTTTCTCTCTAGAAACCGACAGATCGAATAAGGTTTATTTCCGCCTACGGCATAATCGTTAATCTTTTTGCACTGCATATCATCTTCAGGATTGGTCAAAACTGATGCGAGCGTCTCATTTACATATACGATTTACGTGTTCAAGCAGTGAATGACAAGGAGTCTGTGATAAATCGA